CCTTAAAGCAATTTGACTCAATTTACTCCCTAAAATTAGCAGTATTTCCAATTAAAGTTCTATTAAGAAAAAGATTTTAAATTTTTCTGTTAGTAAACAAGATTGACGATATGTTACAATGTTTTCTTTAATTGCTTTAAGTTTAATTAAAGATGAATCTCTTACAAAATAGGTTCATATTTTTTCCAATAATAATTTGAAGTAAATGGGAATTGATATGTCGTAAATTATTTCTTTTCGTATGAAGTATATATGCATGACTGTATAGTGCAATTTCCACTCTTCCCAACTATCTTCTTTAAGAAATATTGTACTTACAAAAAAAATCTCGGCACTTGCTACACAACAATTAAATGACATTGATGGAGCAGTGATTAACCGAACGACGATCGAGTTGACCGCAGATAAGAAACATATTGATGATAAGAAGCATATTGATGCACGTGATCAGATCTTGCAGCGACCGCTCAAGCTCATATCATGCGTTCGTATCATGCGTTCAAACCATGCGTTCGTATCATGTGTTAAAATCATGCACTCGGATCATGCGTTCAAATCATGCGCTCGGATCATGCGTTCAAATCATGCGCTCGGATCATGCGTTCAAATCATGCATTCATGTCGCGCCCCATTGCGCACGAACGTATTTCTGCAGAGGCAGATATGTATTATTTATGTCGATGTATGAACATTTTTATTTATGTATGAACCCTCACATGTCGATGATGAGACATGTACAGTCAATGCTAGGAATTTGTTATCATCAGCAAACACAGAGAAGAAGTAGTGCTCCAAGTAAGCCTGCTCTAAAATTATGATTTCCAATGGGAAATTATTGGTGATTATAATAATTAGTATAGAAGAGACATGAAATTTATAGAACTTCTTTTTCCAGCATGCTGTACACTGTGAATTGGCATAGAGTATCAATTAGATGGTTAAATATGATGTAAACAATCATAAAGCTCAAAAGAGCGATTTGGTAAAAGCTTTGGTTGATTTTTGTTTCATTTTGGATAAAAAACGAAGTGAGAGATAAAGCCTGCATTCTAGTATCAAAAAATGTTTGGATATAAAATTGATTGATCACTCATAAAAGGAAGGGGATTAAGTGATCATAGATAATAAAAGATTTCCTAGGAGAAGGGCTTCCGAGTGCATTTATTGCGCTTACAGTTGGCTGCACCCATAATGTACATCTTTTAAAAACTATGCAAATTAGCTCGCTCTGATGCGTTACGAATCTGCCGTTGAAATTATAAAATCGTATTGAGATGTGAAGATACGATAACACAAAGACTAGGACGCGAATTTGTTGATCGTGCGTGAATACCTGTACAAGGAATCACGATTCTAGTGATTTTTTGCCGAGTGAGAAGATCTGCTATCGATAGTACGAAATAATTAGCGTCTATATTGTACGTACGGTTGAGAACTCGTGTTACCTGATTATTTTTCCTCTCAAAACCTATGCATTATAGACATTTAATTAATTATCATCGATTTCGTGAACTTAAAAAGAATGTGGAAAATTTTAGATATGGAACCAAAAAAAAAATTTTTTGACGCTCTCAGAATCTTCGACGACGCATTTAATGACACGTTAATTTTGGGGGATTCGTTTAGAGGTGGACCGACCAGTGAAATAATACCTGCATAGCTAATTTTCGATTCATCTTGCTTCTCAATTCTCGTAAAATCCATGTGCCTGCAGTATTCTCGTCATTGCGCATGTTTTCTTTTAAGTAAACTTCATAAATTACTTTGTACTGCAGCAATTCATTTCGTTTTTCAACAATGACTAAACTTGTTAAATTTAGTCAAGATTCTTCAGATGACTATACGGGACTTGAGACCAGTCCCAGCGGACCGAGCATCGGCTCTCACATTCATATCCATCGATCTCGCGGCACCACTGATACAGCTATTGGAGCCTCGCTTGGAAGATTATTAATGTATTCCTTGGATGTGCCTGTCTATGTTGGTGGTGCCGTGTCGCCGGGGTACATGCATGGTGCTGTGTTCAACATGCAGGGTCACGATCCGCTCATGCAGGATCGTGCGACGTAGTCACGCGCCTGCGTCGTTTTGGAGCCCGGCAACGATGTGCTAATACGCACATATGAATTTTCCGAGCACTACCTTCGCTATCGAAAAATTCCGGCACTCAATATGCATTTCAGTAAATGAACTTGCGGAAGAATAATCGAAGTTTGGATAGATAAATCGTTTGATTTAGGTTTGAATTGACTGGCGCTTTCATTAGCCGGTGTACAGACTATCGGAATCCGCCGCGTGTGTTTCGGAATTTATTTCCTAGTTCTGATGCGGAGCAGGTCCTTTGAGAACTGAATTTGACTGCGATATTATGATGAACTTATGAACAATCCTTAACATTTAGATTGCATCAATTTTATGTTTGGATGTAATATTTAATATTTTTCACATTATTAACAAAATATTTACTAGTTAATATCCAATACATCACGAAAATTATGTTCCGTTTCCGTTTCTGGGCAGTTATCTTTTCAAGGCAAATAATTGGATTTGATTTATTGTGGATAAATGATTATAACATGAAAATAAATATTATCACTAACAAAGAACCCTCATAAATTTTTCGTTACGATATAATGAGTCTGAACAGTTCGGTCAATACACTCATGTGGTGGCACGCGAACTTGAAAATATATGCAAACAGGCTTACTCGTCATCAATAAAAACTACCTAAAAACAGAGCGGCTCACTAGAAGGCCGAATTATTCCCCGCAGCTAACACCGCTAAAACGATTACTTGAGAATCCTAAGCCATAATTGATTTTCATTTTTAGCATTTTTTTGCGGAGCGCGTTATGGTTGCGTGGCGTCCGGTAATTGTAGGCCCAGTTTACCGCAGGCATCCTAGTCCATCGCGCGCTAAGACCGTGGTTTGATTCTACATTTTACGATCGCCTGTACAGTAGTGAACAGTCTTGTCTTAGCTAGAGTGGGAAATTTTAATGGATTTAGGATCGTATGTTTTTACATTTAATTGCATTTTGATCCAATCTGGAGCCGATGTGATACGTCTCCTCGAGAGACTTTTATTTTATTTTTTTGAAGTCTTGATGAAAATTTAGCTCCAAGCATCCCTTCTCGAAGTTTTTGCAGCTGAAAAACCGTACCGTATGGAACTATACTCAAGTGTTCGTTACGGGCTTAAAAAAATCAGTATCATTCAGTTCGAGGTGCACTGCAATTAATACTGCATGACTCGAAAATTTTTCTCAACTAACCATCGAGACGGATTTTGCATATTGGTAAACCTTCAGTTTACTCAGATTACCTTCAGTTCAGACCCCAGATTAATAACAATAGGCGTTGATCTTAACCCATGATGAAAAATTCAACGTCAACAAAATTGACATATGTTAGCAAAGCATATAGTTCCTAACGACTTTTATTGTGTCAGAAAATTTCTTAATTGGAAATTGTGACATGATTTCAACGCAAATTTTAATGCAGACTTTATTGAGAATCATAGATAGCTTCAAACTAACTATTTTTTTACTTCAAACAAATATATAAACATTTTATCATTTTCAACATAGAAGTTCTCCAGTTTCACCTGCACACTCATGTGTAATAATAAAAGTCAATGCAGTCAAGTTTAAGATTGGGGTGGAAGTATATCAAGAAATCGATGGTCTCATATTCGATCAAACTAGATTTATAATTAGGACGACTCGACCCGATTCGACTCGACTCGAGCACATTTGCATACTTCAATAGTTCCTGTTTATCCTAGCTGGAGATAATCAGATTTCAAAAAATATAAATCCTAATCAATACATGAAATTTTTGCAAACTATTCTTTGGTTTTATAATAAACATTTTCGTGTTTGGCGCGAAGCCTGAAGGCAATTAAATGCAAACAGCATAGAAACCAAGGATTCTTTCACGTTTCTTGAGGAGAAGCAACACCGTAACTTCGTTTTCATGTTAAATTTTTGCTTCATCGTTTATTTGAAACAAATTAATTTAACGGTTAATTAAACAAATAGAGCTTCTTATGTCAGAAAATTATTTATCAAAATTATTATAACTATAGACTCTTTAACATTATTTTATAATTCACAATTCTTTTAATTTTTTCCTGAGAAAATTTTATGACAGCACTTAAATTGACTTGCACACTGTTTTGACAGTTCATACCTTGTTTATTGTGTTGCGGTTCAGAGATTATAAATCTGTGCGCTTAAAAGTTATATCAGACAATTTCGTTCAACTCAAAAGATTCTCCAGATGTTCCTTACCATTTTTAGCGCGTTTTCTCATTTATGGAAAAAATGCACTATTGTGCCCGCCATGTCCATCTGTCTGTCTGTCCGTCTGTCCGTCCGTCTGTCCGTGACTTCAGGTTTTCGTCGACGAGGAAATGCGCTCTCTGTCACTCACTGCTGTGAGTACTGAGATATATTTTTTTTATTAGTGCGTGGATAAGATCATTGTAGCCCCTGCAACTTTAAGTGGTTATATATTTATCTCTCATAAATAAAGGTATAAGATACATACGCATACTATATATCACCCAGTCAATGGCATGCCAGCATGAGGGACTGCATAAATCAATCATGGTTTGCAATGTGCAAAGAAACAGCGATGGCACGTGTCTCAAAGACGCGCCAAACCAGTCAGTCTGCTCGCTGCTCCGGACCAAACATGAGCCTCGTGCCTAGCCCCAAATGGCAGGGATGAAGCGTGTGTTCCTGGTCGTGGTGATGTGAAGACGGTGGTGCTATGGTGGTCTGGTGAAGGCATGCGCTGATGGTAGAGGGGATGATGGTCGGTGGTGGTGGTGGAGGTGGTTAGGGGTGAAGCGTCGTCGAGAGGCACGGGCAGGTGGTTGCTGTGTGGGAACACAGATCGTACCTCGGTTCTCACGGTTCTGGCGCTCCGCCCCAACCGGCCATGGAGTATAAAAGGACCTCGACGTGCTCGGTGCGGACAGAATACTTACGATCACTGCCGAGCTAACAGCTCTCTCGCTACTCAGATCAGTGAACTCCACTGCCTCACTGCGGCGCTGTCCAAGTGGTTGAGAACTTTTGATACTTATAATTCAGTGATCGTCGTCAGTTGAACTCACTAACTTTCAACTGAGAAGAAATTTAACAGCCGTATCGTTTACAAATCAAGATGGCTTGTGAAATAGAACCCATGTCCCGCACTTACCAATACCGTAAAGTGATGAAGCCGATGCTCGAACGCAAAAGGCGAGCAAGAATCAACAAGTGTTTAGACGAGTTGAAGGATTTGATGGTGGGTGCTCTTCAAAACGAAGGAGACTCAATTGCCAAGCTTGAAAAGGCTGATGTGCTAGAACTAACAGTGACTCACTTGAAGAAACTTCGTCAACGTGGCCAGCTCGCCCTGAAACCTCTACCAAATCTTCAAGAGAAATACAGGGAAGGTTACACTCACTGCGCCTCGGAGGTCTCACGCTGCTTGGCATCCATCGAAGGAGTCGACGTTACTTTGGGAACGAAGCTTATGACACATCTTGGTGTCAAACTCACAGAGCACGAGAAAAGAGCTCCTTTGAGCATCTTGGTCCCACAGCCTGGATCTTCACCAACGTTTTCCACAACTTCCAGTGGGTACAGTTCAGCATCAGAACTTTCCCCAGCGCCTTCTTCAAGTTCTTCGAACCGCGGATCTCCTTTGCCTGCCTCTCAGCACGGCCTTATCACCTTCGCGTCAACGCAGCCTAATGAACAGAAACCGAATATTGTTTTGCCTTGTGAAAAAATTGTGACGAACAGTGTGCCATCCAGTGTTGCCCAGCACCAAAACCAGTTATTGGTGATATCATCATCATCTAATGTACCTTCACGGAGTACATCTCCAGTTTCTACCCAAACTTCTACAGGAAATTCAGTTCCTATTTCGTACGTTATGAAGAGGAATCCAGCATTTTCATCTCAAATTCACGAAAGAAATTCACCGCCAGTTTTGACCAAGCCAATGTGGCGGCCATGGTAAACGAAAACAATTCATCTATTTCGACATAAAGTACAAATCTTCCGTCTGCTGTGATAAACGTGATAGAAATAACACTGGGCATTTCTGTGATAGTCACCTGTGATAAAAGGCACAAATATTGTCAGCTCCTCGTCAGCCCTTGCATTTTCGTCAGCATCTTGGCGGCGAACATTCGTCTCTGCGAGAAGACTCCCGCAAGACACTGCGCTACAATGAAGCAGCTTCAATATCCTAATAAGGCTGATAATATCCCTATAAATGTATTTATTTATAACAACTTTATATAAAATAAAATTATTTTTCTATTCTGTGTCTATATTACCTTAGTATAGAATTTTTTTAGCACGATGTTATATCCGTTCATCAAATTTCGATTTTCGATCACCAAAAAGTCCTAACCATGGCGATGTCTATCTAGTGGCAAAAAGTACAAAGCACAGTACGATTCACTTTGAAATGAAGGTCGAATATGATTCAATTAAATGAAGACAGGCCCAACACTTAAATAAATGCCCAAGCACTTGAATAAATAAAATGGTTGATGGGTAAAAATATGGATGAAAATCCAATGTAGAAATAAATTAAGGATTTATGAAATGAAATAATTAACAAAAATCAACAAGAAAATATCAGTCAAGACGGATTAATGAACAGAAATGTTCAAGAACTTTCAGAATAACTGGCACCATAATAATTGAAAATATGAGTCTCTTCAGTAAACAAATGCACTAAGAACAATGAGAGCTGCCACGAACAGAAATTTTATCCAAATTAATAAAATAATTCCGAAATATTGCAAATTACACCCAAGCTTAGCACGAAATGCAAGAGAGAAGAACTATATGAAGTGTGATTAAAAGGCAAAAATGGAATATAATGCGATAAACCCTTTGTGACCTACGTGCCCTTACGACGCAGTAAAGTAACTTTCAAGTTCCTAATAATTGTAGACAAAATCACCTGTCATCTCGATAGGTAGCGGCCAAAGATTACAGAAAGTCTAGGGAAACAGACAGCCATTTTTCAATGACCAGTTGTTTTATGTTGTTCATCGACGAACAATCCATTTGTTCATCGTGCTGTAAAAATAGATTGTTAAGTGTAAAAAGCTATGTTACATTTTTGAACGAGATTTTGACTCTAACGATGATGGAATAATCATAAGTACATGATGTCTTTAGAGTCAAAATTTAGAAAGCCGCAAATACAAGAATAAAGTTGTTGAGCTGAGAGAAAAATCAACATGGTTTAAACTTATTAACTAGAGGAGCGATAATTTATTTAATAATTGCTTTGCTTGGTTCCAAAAATGTTCGTCAACGACGTGATGATTTCAAGCAAGAATTTTACTTTAACTTAAAATTATAATATTTCATTTTCGAACACGGTTTATTGGAAAGAAGTTAGAGATAATAATAGATTCAAGCATTGGACAATATAAAAAATTTAATATATATATGGTTAAATTGGAATTTGCTGAATATTACACATTATCGAGAGTGTCAAAGCTCATTTGCTGTGTTTTGGATGTGGTTTAAGAATCGCCAATAATGGTTAAAATGATGTGAGTAATAACAGAATCAGAGCGTATGTGAGGATTCCGTGAATTATTATAATATACAAGTACTTAAAATATATTCAATGTTTGTTGATTCATAAATAACCAATTGCCCAAAATTATTCATTTATTTATACGTGAGGTGTCAATTTATGAATTATTTTGAACAACATTTTTCAACTAAAATTGTTAGGATGCGATAACTGGTGATGAAAATAAGTACTTCTATTAGTAACTAAATCTGCATCGCAGTTCTGATATACCGAAAAACTAATTTCTCGTAAATATGGTTACTTCTAACCAAAATAAAAAGAAGAATGCTATTTTTCTTGTCAATATTGTAAAGCTCAAATGTTTGTCTTCCCAAAATCAATATGTAAATATTGGAGAAATTTCTTCAAAAAGTTTCATGTTTTTTATTGTGTTTCGTAGTTCTTGTTTACTAATTAATGCTCAGTGGATACAATATATTTAATTAAATATTATTATATACCAAATGAAAATTGAGCTTTTCATTGTGCGCCAAAAATATCGGGCCTGTGATGCTCTAATTCAACTAGTCAACGGTCGATATTGTTAAACCCTTTGCACGAGTACGTCATAGTTCGGTGAAATATATTATCTTCAGTATAATTTTCGACATTAAGTGTCATTGTCAATCCTCAACAGGCAATCTGTAGTCTCCAGATCATGCATTATGTTCGCTGTACAAATTCTGTGATAATTTTTTACGAACGATTGGAAATTCTATTACAACCTACAATAATTATTAAATTATTATAACATTTATTTGCGCCGGCAGGCATTTACATTATAAAATTTATATTTTAACTATCTGACAATGTGCATGATATCCGCGAAACATTGATGATCGAAGGTTTAAAAAAAGGGATATTATAAACGATGCAACCAAGTGTTTTTAAATGCTCCATGAAGCATACATGTACGAATGTAATTAGAGTGTCTGCATGTTATTCAATGCCTGATTATAAGGCTTATTTGTTAATCAACAAATTCCATGAGGTTCATAACATTGGTTGAACAATTCCCATTCCAGCCACCGACCCGCACCTGCCAATCGATATCGAGCATCCGCGACGCATTCCAGCGCGGCAGCTGCTCGAGGGATCCCGTTCCCAGTTCCCACGATTCCCGCGTATTATACGCGGCATTCCTGACACCACGTGCTCGGCTCAGCACCTGCTTGGAATCGTGCCCGCTGACCAACAGGATTGCGGGAACGGGAATGAAAAATTAAGGTTGCTGAAAATGAATGATATTTGTTAGGGATGTTATGTCGTTGTCCATGGGTGTTAATATTAGTAATATTTGTTAAATATTATTAATAATAATATTGGTATGGTATTATTAATAATATTATTATTAATATAATAATATTGTAATATTATAAATAATCAATACAATATTGAAATGATTGAATCACCTAGAAAGTTTATCATAATTCTACTTCTGATTACTTAAGATGGTTTAAACTATATGGAATATAGTATTTATTCACATAAACAACACACCAAACTCACACAAACCTACATGTCAAATGAAGAAATGGCATATTCTTTCATCAGATATCACGTCATGTCACTGCATAAGCAGAAAGAAAATTTCCCTGATGGGAGTTCCTTCTTTGTCGATGTCTATTTTATGTAAATATTTTGCAGTGACGACGTAAGTGTATGAATAAAATATATATATTTGTTTTATTGATTAATGATAAAACATTTTGCCGGACGTGCGAAAATATTTGTTTATTTATCTAAGTTCAGAAACATTCATCAACTGAATTATGAAGTACGTTTACATGAAATGCATTCATGTTCAAACCGTAATAACGTATCCATGCTTTCTCATGGAAAATTTTCTATTAAATAACGCCCAAAAATATAAAACGATCATAATGAAATAATAAGTTTATAGCAAATAAAAAATATGAACAACTTGTAAAATGTAACTCTGATTACGGTTATCTTGATTGTAATAACATATGATCTAATTTTCGCATTTTCTGCTCGACAGTTGAGGACTAAGCCTTCGTAGTCCAATTTGCTGTAGACGTTACTATAGCACATCACCAACAACCTAAGTATTTACTTGGTCTAGATTTTTCTGACTGAATGAAAATCAGCGATCATCTGATCGTAGATTCATCGTTCTTTCATGATTCTTAATCCAGACATCGAACGATCTATTTAAATTAGTTCTTTCGTTTACACGCAGCCTTGAAATGTGAAAGTGAGATATATGAACAGCTAGGGCAAGCTGAATTGAGACCTTTTTACACATTTAGGCCACACATTTACACATTTATACCATACATTTAGGTAAAACAGCCTATGGTATTTTTCCATCTGCCAGCAAGAAAGTTTATCCAGTGCAATTTATTAGACGTCGCTGCATTTTAGAGCAATTACTCGTACTTCAGAACAATCCCGTGATTGAACAGAATCTGAGTAAGGCAAGTGAAAAATTACCAGGTTTATATACATAAAATACTCACTATGTAGGCCTGAATCCATTTTGAGAAGAAATAAAACAAGATTTGTTCTATGAACATTTTTCAGTGAAATATTCTCAATTATCAGGCTATAAAATAAATAAAGTATACAATGAAAAAATAATTAAAATATCTATGTTTGCTCATAGATAAAACACAATGAAATACCCCAAAATTCAGATGCACTAGCGAGGTACCAATAATTTACAGAATGCGTGTAACAGCTGCTGTGCTACGCGACAGCTGAGGGCTTTGACGGGAATCTTTGGAATGCAGAACAGCTGGGCTTCTCGCGCGAGGGTAGGAATGGGAATCAGGAATGTCAGGAATGCGAACATCTGCCGGGAACAGTCGCACGTGGCGTGGCAGTAGCAGCTGGCAGCGTTTGCACGCGCCACGTCACAATCAATACACCACGTCGTACACAATCAATACACCACGTCGTACACAATCAATACACCACGTCGTACACAATCAATATACCACGTCATACACGCACACAGCCGAGATCGTCTTGATAGTATACTGGAGTGTTCGTTAGTTGCGACGTATAAAATTCATTGATAGCGATGTGTTATTTTGGTGTAAGTTGTGTTAGAGTTTTGTGTGGTTTTGTTAATTGCGGTGCTGAATTCTTGTGTATGGTTTATTGAGCTGTGTTCATGATCTTTTATAATAAGCATTTTCTAATTTTTTGGCTGTTTCATTAATTTTTTTTCTTTAATGCAGAACATCTCTTCTAGAGATCGTTTTATATGCACACACTAAGAATAATAACCTCGATTTGATGGCAATCAAAGAATATCAATTTGTGATGAATATCAACCAGAATATCAATTTGTGATGAAAAGCTATCAATAAATATGGATATAGTTCGGCTCGAACTGTTCCACAGATTTCGATTGTCTCGATGGCAACTTCATAACATACAGTTTTATGCCTGCATTTAAGGAAAAAATATCTTCAGAATCAACAACCGAGTGCAAACAATATATGGGAAAAATTTTTTGCATTATAATGCGGTGCAGCAGGTTAATATCTTGAAATAGTTAATACTCATTTTGTGGCTTTTTGGTACTGAGTGAAATTATTTCGGAAATCCCTTTCTAAGGCAGTTGTGGTCATGATAAGTTCAATGATTTGTGTTGCTGAAAATTTAAGATTTTTCATCAAGGCACAATCCATAGTGTTTTTATTCTATTCGCATTGTTTTTGCATGTCGTAGCT